ACATCCTTTCGCGTAGCTATTCTGCAGCATCGGGACTTTACACAGTCAACCCTTCATCTAGCCTCGGACTTAATCAGACTGCAGGCCTTCCTAGCCAGCTAGCTGATCCCATTATGGGTATTGGCTTGCATGGAGGTACTACGGCAGCTAGCAGTCCCGCTGGCTTGGAGCTTATGCGTCAAATGGATAGACAAGCCAGATTACGCATGCTTCACTCTGATTTTGAAGAGGCCAGAAGGAGGACTGGTTACGCCAAGACAGGTATTCGGCATAATATGATTATTTTTAATGTTTATTTTTAGGTAGTGGTCATAATTAATCCAGCGACCCAAAATTCCTTATTTATCCTTAAGTTGTTTAATATTAAAAAATAAATACTATTACGCAGATTGCGGCTCCAAGCAAGGTTAACTAAGCTGTACTTTTTGTTACGAAATCTATTTTATCGACCTATTCACAAAGCATAATCTGCTTATAAGATCATTGGATATAATATTATCTGGACCCATTAATAAAATCCTTATTTTCTTTAAATTTTTCATTCTTTTGATCACTATGATTGAAAAATGCATTCTAACCTCTGTTCTTTCCTTCTTAGGCTAATGCTTATACAAATATTTGTATGTGATCTTAAAATTTTTTTGAAATTAAGATTTCACAAATAATTTAAGAAAAATTATGCAACTTTAGCTCTTTGTTGGGGATTTAAACCTTTTTGAGAATTAAGAAAATAGCTTATTGGATGTATATTTCCTTAAATTTATTTTTATCTATCTTAATTGAGTGCTGAAATATATTGATTATTAGCTTACAAATGTCAGTTTTTATAAGGAATTTTTATTACTTCGTTCCTTTAGTCGATATGCTGACGATAGCTATGGATTTCCTTGTTTATTTTCATGTAGAGTTAATGTGCATTAACATCCATGTAAACAGAGCTGCACGAGCTCTAGACTTAACATTAGATCAATGCCCCGATGTTTTGTAGTGTAAAAATTTAGGTTGTGTCAATAATGGTTTAGACGAATTTAGTAATGAGCTATAGATGTTTGTGCATGACTATTTTGCCGTTTGGCAACACCGTAAATAAATAAAACTTTTTTTCGTTACTAATTAAAATTTGCCAAAAGGTCGAGTTTACTTTGTTATCAATGAAGTATGATACTCTACCTTTTATAGATGTACTAGTTAGCACAACGGAAAGCAAACTGAGTAGAAATGTAAATATAAAACCCACAAATGTGGGTCTTCTTTTTAATTTTATTTTCAAACCATATTCATGGCATTAAGCTGGGGATTCTGGAATCCATGATAATAAGGAGCCTGCATCTTGCAGATGCTAATAATCGGGATAACAAACTCAGGCGATTAAATATTTTATTATTTTATTTACGAATAATTACCTTTTAGGATTAATTGACAATTACCTTAAAATATTTGCAAATAGGATGGAGGGAAGCATCTTTTAAGGGCAGGTTAGGCACCTAGAGCGTTCTACTATGGTCCTGATGTTACCCTTCTGCTAGTTCTCAATAAAGATAAGGGGTCTTACTGAGAAAGTTGGGTATCAGGGCAATGTAAAAAAAGAACGTTCATGGCACTATGGAGTAATGGTTAACGTGTCGAGATTATACACTACATTGCCATGATTCAAGTTCCACTCTAAGTGCTGATGAGACCTAGGCATGGACAAGGTCATTAGAAATTGAATTGAAATGTAATGTTTATCCAGATCGTGGCTGACAGTCCTTTTTCATTCACGAACAAGGGTGAATGCATCTCGTATATCTAATTTTACTGATAGTCTCGAAACCCTAATAACACTTTCGCTTGTAATGCTATTTTTTCGTTTCGTATACATTCATCACATCAGGCTCTAATTAGTTTTTGTGTTTATGTGGTAACCTCTATGGGAGAGAGACCTGACAAACATAAAACAGCATACAAAGGGTTGTGGGCTCAAAAAATTGGAACTGGCAGGACAGGATATTGGTATAAAGCTAAACGTTTTATTAGATATGGCGGTTATACTAGTAAGAGAGAGATAGAGACAGAAAAAGTAAGTACCGCCGAATAAGAGGAGGAGGCTTGATTAGCTCAAATCTGGTTTTAATTTTCATATCTTACGCGTCTCACGAGCATTGAAATCACGCAACCTACTTGCACTGGAACGTAATCGCATGTGGAAATATAGCAGTATCAAAAATATAAGTAATTTAGGGTAGGATTCAGCTATCCAACGACGTACGAAAATTCAACAATTATTTATCGGGGTCACAGTATGGTGAGCCGAGCATTTGTTGGTACAAATTTAGTCATAGCTCCAAGGTAACTTGCCTTTATTAATGGTTAGGTTTAATTACGAACCCTTTCAATTCGCCTCTGCAAACGAAATGAAAAGTACTCCAACATCAATATAT